CTAAGTCCCTATTGCTAATGAAGAAAAATCTCCATGATATATTAAGGAATAAAAGCAAGGTACGTGTATATATAAACATATCTAAATATTTGTTTTTGAAATTCTGAAGGATATATAAGAAACTTAAAAGTGGTTACCACTGAGAAACAACACTGAGAAAATACAGAATGTGACTTTCACTTTTGATTTTTTTAAACTCTTCTGTACCGTTTGAATTACTTTCAGCATGTGTATTTGTTATTTTATTAATAATAACAATTATACGCAGTATTTTCTGCATGGCCTGCAAGTACCTGCTTGCTCTCTATCGGGGTGGGAAAGTGAGCACTCTTTCCGAGCTTCACATGGCAAACCAGGGAGCCTACTAAGTGGGTGAGGGGCCACCCCTTCCCCAAGCAGTCCAGGTGCCTTCACAGGCTGCTAAGGCCCCTGTCCCCACTCACTCCTCCCTCACATAAGTGGCTATAATGCACGAGTGAAGAGAAATTTTCATTGCTGTTCTTCCAGTTATAGAGCTATATAGTTCATCTCTAAAAAGCTAGTAGAAGATGAGTAGAGTTACCACACTGGCAAAAGATACCAAAGAAAAATCTGAGTGTCTTCCTAACGTTGTTTGTTATCACAGTCATCCCTCAGTATCTGCGGGGGATTGGTTCCAGCATCCCCGCAGATACCAAAATCCACTCATACTCAAGTCCCATAGTCAGCGCTCCGGAACCCACATATGTGAAAAGCCAGCCCTCTGTATCTGTGGGTTTCACATGAAGTGAATAATTTATTTTCAATGATGTCTGGTTGCCCACGCAGAACCTGTAGATACGGAGGGCCCACTGTATTTATTGAAAAAAATCCACGTGTAAGTGAACCCATGCAATTCAAACCCATGTTGTTCAAGGGTCAACTGTATATTACAAAAACACAAAAGTGAAAATGTTTGCCTGTAGTACCTGCCGTTCCTCCAAGTTCCATGAGAATGAGCAAAAATCAGACATCAGTCCAAGGGGCTGTCTTTACCAGCTTCTAATCTTCTGTTTGTTTGCCTATCTCAAAGTCCCAAGCAACTCTTCCAGCTAAAATTGCCTCCACAAGAAAAAATAACATTAATAGTATGCTAAAATTGAAAAGATGAAGTGAAATCTACAATGAAATTTTCTGATGTTGAAGATCTTAAAGGGTATTTCAACTTTGTTTTGTACTTATTCCATCAGAGAAATATCTCTAACCGCACTGAGGGGGTAGAAGCAAAAATAAAAAGTCACTAAAAATTATGCTTCTGTTATTCCTATAATTTGACCTTGAGGCTTGAGCTGTGGAGGCTACTTATTTAGTATTGAGTGACCTTTCCAAACTGTGTAAAAACAATCCTGTAGTATTTTTCTTTTGCTAGAAGGTCACAATACACAGGCATTGATTAAAGTTGATTTGTTTATTTATGTATTCATTCATTTGTTCATTTATTTTTTGGCTTTACTGATAGATACAAAAAGCAAGTTCAATGTCTACCTGAAAAAGTCTAATATCTACTTAGCTGAAAATGTGCTCCCACTAAATTTGATTTTATGTAAGTATTATGCCCAAGAAAAAAGTGATTTCGCTTTTGGTTGTGAGGTGTAAAAGTAATTACTGAAATGAACAAACTATAGCCTGGTGCATTGAGCTGTCTGTGGTACTGAAAAATGACACCAAAGCTGAAATTTATGGAGCTGGGTTTTTACAAAGCGTCCCCATCACACTATTTTAATTCAAGCACTTCCGACCATGACTCACCTGAACCATCTTATTTTGCCAGAGTTTGTATAAACATTTTATAAAAGGTCACACTGACTTGCTTTCCAAGGTTCTCCATGAAAATGTCAGGGCCTCCCAAGCTTCGTTAAGCAATTCCGGCGGACAGAGAGCCAGAACGTCAGCTATAACACCTTTCCTGAATGCAGTGAGAAATCATACCATGTACCAGAAACCCACACTAGCTACCTGATACTATGCGATCATCGTACCAACATGCTAAAAAGGAAAAGAAAAACTGTCGTTTTAGATTATATGCTATAACCAAGGACACATTATGAATGGCTGCATAACTTTGCTTTTATTAATAGCTCCTTAACTCAAAGCTAATCAATATATTTGGAATTCTTTACAGTGAACCGAGAAGTGCCAGTTAGCTTAAAACTTTTTATGAAAAAAATACACCTACATCAGTGACAACAATAAGTAAAAAAGAGGAGGCACAATTCATCATTTTCCACAAATATACATAAGCCTGTGCAGTTGGTGTCATTGAGTTTCAAAGTGAGGTACTGTGACAGCACTGTTGACTCTATTGTCCGGACAAATTAGACCATTCCTACTTTTCTCTGGTTCTTGACTTAGCTTGGAATTTTCACATGTATTGTGCCCTTTTCTTTTTTCTTTTCTTTTCTTTTTTTTTATAAAAGCATCTCAAATGAGAATTTGGAGCTTCAGCTTAAGGGAGAAATCTCTCTGGATAAAACACTGGAGTGTAAAAGCTGCATCCAAAATAACTAAATGATATTACTCAAACAGCTATTTTGAAATTATCTTAAGTGTAGTGGGTTTAACAGAAACCATATATGATATAAAACCAACCCAATATAAAAAATCTAACATTCTAACAAGATATTTATATTGTCCAACGGTAAAGTAGCTCGCTGTGCTTATTCTCTGAAGAGGGTTAATCCATATCCTCATATTTCTCATACACGTTATACAAACCGTAATCAACATATCTATGCATTTGCATAACAAAAAGAGTCCTCAAAATTAGCCAATGAGTGGCAAGCTTTCAAGTATGAAATAATCTACGAAAATATGATTTCCTATATTTTATTAGTTCTGTGTCAACAGTTCCAATATGGCATCAATTTTTTTAAGATACACAATAAACATCTGGTAACTGTTCTTAGACTCCTATGCACTATTTCAAAAAAATCTCCCAGTAATTCTTAAGAAGTCAGTGTTCTCAAGACACTTTGTTCTTGGTGTCAGTATCAGCAAATGCCCTCCCCCCCACCCCCATGAATGCTTGTTTAGCTGTGTGATTTTCAGAAGGAACAGGCAAAAATGTTTCATAAAAACAGCAAGGTCTCTCATTTCAGAATAGAATAAGTAAAACCACCCTGGCCTCCAAGCAAAACATTTGTTTTAAGTTACTTGATTTTTAAAAATATGTAAAAACATTTTGGAAAAATCTTTTAAGTTTAACCCCATTCATATACTAAACTCTTGGCTTTAGAGGAAAATGTGCAAAGACATATCCATGTTTCCGGGCTTTTTGCATGCAGCAGCAGAGCCTAGCAGGAAGCATTCTAGACTGGATATCTAGAATGGGTCTGGGCAGGGTCTGTTCTCGCTGTGCATGATCTAGCTGTATGGCCTGGCAAGCTCCTCATCTCTTCTGACTTCAGATTTCTCATCTGTAAACTGAGTTAAAGGACTTATTTTGTTCCTTTTAGCTCTAACTGTCTACTCTTCAAGACAGAATTAAAATAGGATATCACTTCTCAGCCTAAGATTAAGTATAGAAAATGAAGAAAAGATAAACTTGTAATGTTTAAGTTATATTTTAGGATCACTTTAAAACATTTGAAAGAACCTCAAAAGCCACTAGTACTGAATTAAAGATAAACCTATGTAAATGATTAAAATGTAAAAAAGATTCAAATGCGTTTGTCTTGTTGTAGCAGTGCAGTTTTATTACTTATCTCTGAATACTCTCACGCTTTCTCTAACCTCATCCCTCCAGAAAGACATGCTTCAAAGTTTTGCAAATATGAAAGCTAGATAAAGTAATTTCTCCTTCCTCACTTGGGATCGCGTGAATCTTTATTTTGTTTGGGCAATTGTTAAAATTGAATACTTCCATATTTAGTGTGTGTTTGCTAACTGCTAATTTAAAATTAAATTAATGCTAAAGTACTTAAATGGGAAGTCCAATATAATCTTTTAAACTAAACGGCAGTCTAATTTGGAGGTAGTCAAGAAAAGGCAACCTAAATTTGAAGGTTTTCATAGACCCACTAAATGTCTAACAACTACCCCTCAAAAAAAATCAGAAAATACATATTAGTATATATTCTAACCTGGAAAATCCCAATCTCTCTGATTTTTGAAAACTATATATTTTAATTCATAACTCTTAATATTCCTTTGACTGTTGGCTAACAACTAACAAGATGATCCATAAATTTTATAAATAGCAATCTGATATGGTCAATAACAGCCCAATCTAACAAGAGGGCTCCTGACTGCATTCAAACTAAACCAACATTTTCCTAACAAAACAGCTCATAAGGGCAGTGGCCTTAACTCTTCCATTACATTTAAAAGATAACGACTGTAGCTAAGAATCTACTAAACTACTAGATATATAGAAAATGTATTCTAAACTTACATGATTGTAGCTAAGAATCTATTAAACTACTAAATATACAGAATTTGCTTTCTAAACTTACAACAGATTTTTTAAAAATGTTAAGGCATATAGGAAAGGTTGAAGGTTTTTTTTTTTACCTTATTTATATGAATTAACTAGCAACTGATGAACCTATTTTCTTCTCTGTGTCACATTATAGAAGATGATATAGACAGACATAATCTCCCATAATGTCGCACCCACGAGAAAGAGGTGTTTCAAACAAACACACAAGTTTACCCTAGATTAAGGCTAGTGCACAATTGGTCTTAAGGAAAACAAATGTTGTGTCTGATCTGGAAAAGATCTACCTGAAAAACAGAGGGGAAAATCTTAAGGGTTCAGCAGATACACCCCAGGGACTACTGCATGTTTATATGCTACACTGCCTTGTGCTGTTTTTAACTTCTTGAAAGAACAGGTCAGTTGCTAACATAAGAATACATCATGTGTCTTCTGTAACCTCAAGCAAGGACACGACGGCTTGGAAAAAGCCTCTGCTGCCTTGCTTTTCTCCGGGCTGCCTGCACGGCTCTGGGTCATTCAGAAACAGCTGAACCTAAGTTACCTGTATTTCCCTGGCATGGTACACGATGATCAGGCCGAGCAGGATGATCGTGGAGAGACTGATAAGGCATTTCAGAGCTAAGGAATACAGCGACGCCTGCAACACAGTCAGACAGAAGCACTTTTAAGAAAGAAGCACTTTTAACCACCTCCCAGACCCCCGCAAGTGGACCTGAACTCTCAGGAGGACGGGGCTGGGGACACCTGTCTTGGCTCCGGGATCTGTCAGACCACTCAGCCGCACAACGAGGCCAGAGGAGAGCAGAGCTGGGAAGACGGGTGGTTGGGTTGCCTGGTTGGCGCCATCGCGGACTCAGGCGCCGCCGCTTCTCCCCGGCGACACCGAAGGGGAAGTTACTCCCGAGTTTATGCGCTGCGGGTTACAAGGGGCCTCCTAAATACAAGCACCACGGGGAAAATGCAGGTGCTTTCCCTACCACTCCTGTACCCACTTACTTAATATGCCCGATTGCGGTGGCCTCTCTTACTACCTCCAGAACTTCGGCTGCACGCGGAAAGGGTTCCTCTCCGAGTTGCCTAGCTGGCCAGGAGTGCGCGTCCCAGCCGCGCCCGCTGTCCCGGAGGGCGCCCCTGATCGTCCTGGGAAGGCTGGGGACCCCCAAGCAAAGCATTCCCACCAGCGCACGTCCCAACCCCCCGGCCCCCGACTCGGTAGGGCGGGCAGGTGTTCAAGCCTGTACCTTGTCGTAGGCGCCCCACGACAGCTCGGTCTCGATGACCATGACCACGATGCCGAACATGCCGAAAATGAGCGCGTAGTCGCTGAGCCGCTTGCGCTTTTCGAACAAGGCGCGCCGGTGGCCCAGCTTGTAGCCGATGTTCTGGTTCTTCTTTTTGCTAGACTTGGTACCACTGCTGCTGCCGTGCCCACTGCCGCCGCCGCCGCCGCCGCCGGCTCCGTAAAGCGCCAGGTTGTTGGAGTTGTTGTGCTCGGGCTTAGACACCACGATCTCGGGGGCTGAGGACGAGGCGGCGGCGGCAGCGGCTGCAGACGGGGAGGACGCGCCGCCACCTCCTCCGACGGACGCGGGTGGCTGCAGGGGCTGCGCCTCCGAGTCCATCTCGTGCAGGTTCCGGCGGGACGCGCTCAAGTTGCTGAGCGGCCGCATGACGCCCCCGTTGTACCTGCAGCTGCTCATGGCTATTTCGGTGAAGGGGTTGCTCTCGCGGCGCGCCTGGGGCTGGTGGTGCTGGTGGTGCGCCGGGTGCGGGTGGTGGTGGTGGTGCGAGAGCGGGGGCCCGGAGCCCAGGCTGCCGAGGCTGCCCGTGGGGCTGGCGGCGGGCTGCAGGCTGTGGCACTGGTGGTACTGGGAGGCGGACGCGGACTGCTGGGCGTACTGCTGCCGGAGCGCACTGGCATGGCTGGACGGCGTCAGCTCGCTCACATTGAGCTGGCTGCCTCGGCGCGAGGAGCAGCAGCAGCAGCACGACGAGCCCGACAGCGGCGAGGAGGTGCGGGTCCGGAAGGCGCCGCCGGGCGAGGAGGTGCGGAGCAGCAGGGACAGGTTATCCCCCGCCCCCGCCCCCGCCGCCGGGGCACCGGAGGAGGCGCAGCTGTTGCACCGGAGGCATGGGCTGCTGCCGCCACTGCCCGGCTGCTGGTGCGCGAGGTGCGGGTGGTGGTGAGCGTGCGGGAGGGACGCGAAGGGCGGGCACGGCTTGTCCTGGCTCTGTTGCTGCTGCTGGCAATGCAGGTGTGAGGAGCGTGGCGGCGGCGGCGGCTGCTCTGGGAAGAAGCCGCGCTGGAACTGCAATGGGGTTTCCATGTCAGGGCTGTTAAAGCTGCAGGGAGACCAGGCGGTGGTGCACCCTGCGCAATGCGTTATGGTCGGGAGCGGGGAGTCCTGCTGCTGGTGCGAGGAAGGGCCCATGCCGGCTCCGGTAGAATCCAGGCGGCGAGTCCGATTGGTTGGGCGCACCAAAACAATGGGCATGACATCACCTGCGGGGACCGAGACAGAGTTTGCGGCGCGCGCGGCTTAGGGGAGCGTGTGTGAGAGACGGAGATGGGGAGGGGAATCTGCAGGATGGAAGCCCCGGGGGGCGCAGGCCAGGCCAGGGCTAGGGCACTCGAGGACGGAGGTGGCACCTGCTGATGAGGAGCGCCCCTGAGCACTGCCGGGGATGGAAAGACCCCACGCAGTGCAGCCAGGCTGCAGGGGGAGGAGAAGAGACAAGGGCGCCCCTCCCTCCGGCGCTGCTGCCCCCTGACTTGTGCCGGACGCGCTGCCCGGATCACCTGCGCCAGGCACTGCAGCACGTCGGGCCACCGGTGCCACGGGGCAGACGCAGGGACAGTGCAGACCCGGACCACTTCTCCGCCTGCACGCCTCCTAGGGCTGCAAAACAGCAGCCCTCCCGCCCCACGCCCGCCTCTCCCTGATCGTCCTGCCGAGAGTGGGCTGCCGGCTGCCCGCCAAGTAACTGCGGGGGCAGCGCTTTGGGGAGAAAAAAGTTTGGCGGCGGGCTGCGCCAGTGCAGCAGCGCTTGGGGAGAATTCTGCCCGGGGCCTAAGCCCCGCTTTGGCCGCCGCGGGATCTCAGCCAGCCCCGCGCCCCCGTTTCCCCCCGCCGCCCGGCTCGGGAGCCGGGGTCGGAGGCGTTGCGCTCTCGCCCGAGCACGCCGCGGCGCGGACAGGGTTAACCGCCTCGGCTCTCGGGCCGGGGGAGGGCGGAGGTGGGGTGGGGGCGGGGCTGGAGGAGGGGATCCCCGCCGACCGCGGGGAGAGCCGGCGCGGGCTTCCCGGGTCCCCCTGGCGGGGGCGGAGGGCTTCCCCGGCTGCCGCCTGCTCACACTTGCGCCTGCTGCGGAACATGGGGGGCCGGCGCCCCCGGCCGCCGGGTCCCGACACCCGCCTCCGGTCCTGCGGCAGCCCGGGCGGGAAGGCGGCGGCTTCCCGGCGGTGGAGCGGCGGCTCGCTCAGAGTCCTGGGCGCCGCGCAGCCTCCGCCCGCCGCCTGCTCCTCTTCTGCTCCTCTTCCTCCTCCTCACCTGGGGCACAGACACAAAGCAGAGACCCGTCACAGATGCGCAAACGCCGAGCGTCCTCTCGGCCAGCCCGACTGCGGCGGCGGCCGGGGGCGCGCCCGGCACGGCCGACTCGCAGCGGTGGCCGCCGCCTGGCCGGGACAGTATCAGCAACCACAACTCGGGGCCGGACAGCCGCTCCTCGGGGACAGGGCTGGAGCTTTGTTGGAAAGGCATGATAATAATTTATTTCCTCTCTAATAAACGAGTAAAAATCGCTTTTCGTGTCTCACGGACTCCCCGTGCTGCGCTCTCCTACTGGACGGTGTGCAAACACAGGGCGGCAGGGGAGGCTTCGGAGGGTCCTTTGTTAACTGCTCCATCTTAAGTCTTCACATTTGCATTTCTTTGTGAATGGAAATTCCCTTGTCCCCCACCACCACCACCACCAAACAATGGGAAAGAAATTGGCCAGCTGAATATTTGTTTCCATTTTGGATTGTGGTTTTACAGCATGATTTTTATAATAGAGATTAGAATGGATTAGATAGACCAAGAAATTAGAGTGAAAGCGGATCCTCTTCATTAGGTAATTGGAATTCTCTGCTGGATCCAATTTCCTGATATTCTACTCGGCAGCTGCCCTAAAGTTGCTTACCTGGTATCTGCTTGTAAGCCGGTGTGTATGCCCTTGTGGTGTGCTTTCAATGCCATGGGGTGAATAATTCATTTTAGGATATTCTTTGGACATGTGTTAAGCAATTTTAATTTTTGTGCGTGGAGGTAAGCAGATTCAGCAGAAATAAAGGGGAAGAGTTGTTTTTAGTCCCACAGTCCTGGACTTGGGAATCAATACTGTCAGTCAGGACTTGCATTTCTCAATTGTCTTGCTATACAATTTTCCTGACTAACAATCAGACGGCATTTTATTTTTATAATCTATTATGATGGGGTTTTTTTTAAATCTCCAAAATGACCATTCAATAAAACGTTTAGAATCACGAAGCTCACTGAATCCTTCGGGCAATCCTAATATATAATTTGAAATAAAAGCTTTCCAATTAAAAATTGTTCATCTTCTGCTCTGAAAAGACATTCAACCCAAGCACAAAATCTGTCAGATATTTATTAGTACACTTTTCAACAAATTATATAGCCTTCTTCCAGCGGCTCTATATAGTTGATTGAATGTAAATATTTGATTTATCCTTACAAATCTAGATACTTCAAAGGACTGTTATGGGAAATTAAATATTTTCATTAGCTGTCTATAAATTTAGATTGACATTTACAGAAACCTCACCCCCAAATATCACAATAGTTGTTATCAGCATGAAATTAGATATAAGGGTCAAGAGTTAATAAAATGCCATAAGAAAAATAATGGCTGCATCCCTTGTGTCAAATTGACTTTTTCAAATACCAAAATCAAGTCTTCAAATGGAGCCTCCAAAAACAAAATAATGGGGAAAAAATATTGTACCTTTTGCCATGTATATCTCCATGCTCTAGTCTGGGATTAGTTGCAGTACCCCTAATCATGCAGAAACAAGCAGTGCTTACTGAGATGTATGGCAGTGCTGCATAAAGTTCTCACTTCTTTCAAAGGGGGTACAGGGGAGGATGAAATGCACAAACTACACAAGAAAATGGAAATTTGGTTCACAACAGGATGGACTATCAGAACACCAAAACTCAGACTAACAATACTTCAGCTTAGCCAATATTTTGAAAAAGCTCATAAAATAATTCAATAATGTGAAAATCACTGTGATTGGACAGAGAGCAGTCAAGTCAATCTGACATTTATCACCTTTCTGTTAAGCAATCGACTGATTACACACACTATAAAAACCACTTTCCCAACAAATGTACTCTGAGACTGTGATAATCCTCTATTACCACGATCATTTAAAAAAAAGCAAGATAAAGATTCAACTTTGTGTTTCATTTTTAGTCTGAACCATCCATAACTTTATTGTTTGGGGCATCTTCCACTATTAGGTTGTGACAGGCACATTTAGGAAGTTCTTATTTTCATCATTCCTCTTTTTTCATAAAATAAATGTTAAGCTTATATGTAGACTTTTAAAATATGTATACCATATTTTTTTTCCTATATAATATTGTAGAGATACATGTAACGTGAAATTAAACTGAGTAACAAAGGCAATATTCTTCTACATGGACAGTGTTTTGCACATAGTGGATACCCACTTATACTTGTGAGAGTGAAGGGGGAAGGAGAGAGGAAGGAAATGAAGAAAATTGGGGGAAAAAAGACACAAATTAAGGGCCAGTGACTTACAGTGATAAGCTTTCAAAATATTATATTTGCTTCTCATTCTTCCATTAAGGCATATAAGTGCTGGAATTTCCCTAGATTAACACCAGAGGTCATACTCATCCACAAAACACATTTCAAATCTAATCAATTAAATCTGTTTATTTCCACCATCCTTTTTTATAAAAATTACCTATTTTTTCTTATGGCCTACAATATTTGCTTTCCTATTATTGTTGTATTTCAACCTTGTGGATACACGTACACAACACCCCACACACCAACACACATTTTCTTACAAGAATGGTTTTCACGGACTGCAGACTTGGTTAAAAACTTCAGGTTTGCGCTCCAATCCCTTATTTTATTCAGATTTATATGATGCCATTGGTTATAATTCTCTTTTCTATAGAAATTATTTGCCTATGCTATCTCTCCATGTTGTGCCTTAAACAGCAGGACTCTCTTTAATTTGGGTGTTTTTGATCTATTTCCAAGGGCACTCAAAGCAAGGGTCCATGGCTTCTGTTTCCCATATTGAGTGGCCTGAAGGAAAACTTTGACCTACAAAGTAAACCTTTTTCTGAGATTTAGTCTTTTCTTTGCCCAGATGAGTCAATTGCAGCATTTGGTGGTGCCAAACACAATTATTATATGTGTTCTTTATACTTTTGCATTATGATTATAAAGTATCGTGGATAAGCCTATTGATAGTCTCATTAGTTTTTATCAATATCTCTATTTTTTAGGGGCTAATTATCATGTTGGGGACTATCCATTAACTCCATTAACTTTAAAATTTTTCCTACTCTTATCCTTGTCTCCTACCATTTCTCAGCTAATTAGTATTTATAACATTGTCAGCAATGCCTGCAAAAAAAAAAAAAAATCAAACTCACACTGATTTTACTAGTTTGCTAGTAGAATTGAACTTCTGTTACTTAATTATTAATAAATGGATGGACAGGTTGAAATTGTTGCGTGTGGTAAATCTTTTTAAAAATAGTTTGTAGATTTCATGAACAAATACCCTGTGGTAGCAAGAAATGCACACCAGAATCTAGAAAGCCATAAAATTTAGTGGACAGCATACTCTAGTTTATAAAGCAGTTTCTCATATGTTATTTTATTTGCGTCTCACAACAACCCCTAGGGAAGGCAGGAAATGTTTTATCATCATCTTTGTTTTCCAGATAAAGGTAGCACCTGAGATGCAGTGCCTGTCCTACCCAAGGTGACACAGCCAGTGAGTAGCCAGGAGAAGCCAGACTTCAGACACAAGCGTCTCTGTGAGTCTGTTTTACACAGCTGTTAGCTTTTCTCCACAGCCGAATATAGGAGCAGACAGTAGCAGCCTGTCGTCACCAGCCACTACTTGTGAATGGCCTCACACACATTTCCCCACTGGCCACTTGGTCTCTGTGATCCTTAACTACTGTCCTCTTGTTGACTTCAGTTGATCAACAGAATGACTTCTGAGGATCTAATACAAGTGTGGATGCAACAGCAATGCTGTACGCCTACAGGTCCAAGGTACCGAATTAAAAAGCATATTAAAAAAAAAAAAACTCAGATCCTGATGTATTCAGACACACTTTTCTAATCTACTTTGCTACCAAGTCTGAGCATTCATAAGTTTTGGCAATATCCATAATAAAAGCTGAAGGTCAATGGTGAATACTGATTGGCACTAGAAAAAGCCATTCTATCTTTTTATACAATAAGGGAAAAGGAGCAGCTCAAACTCTTTGTCCTGCAGCTCCCAGGAATTTGTCTGCAACCCTGCAGGTATCCAGCCTGGTTCCTTGGCTCTCTGTGCTCTGGCAGAGTTGGCCTCTCACTGCTTGTCCCTCTATGCCAAAGAGGGAGAGAACCAGAGAAAGGAGACCAGGCTGCCATAAGGGAGAGAAAAACCAGTGAGTTTCACAGCTAGGGTAAAGATTCAGCAAAAGTGGGACAGACAATAATAAAAACCAGCCCTAAATACTAAGGTGGGTGATCCCAAAAGTTCTGTGGTTGCTCAGTGATAAAACATAAGGTAGTGACAAAAGTTCTTGAAGGTTTATTTTCCCTCTGAAATCGAAAGTATTTTCCCATCATTATTGTTTTCTTCCAGATGGTGTCAGGGCACAAGATATATTCGCTCTTTTTTCTCTTTTCCTGATCACATCCCTATACATTCTATTTCCATGCGTTATTCATCAACCCTCTGTTTCTATGTTTTCTTTATTCTTATCTACCTCCTGCCAAACTGGGTCAGAAAATCTATAACCCTTTGTCTAACTTTATATTATTATCTCTCTTTTGGGGACTATTTGT